GTTTCTTGTTGATTGTTAGTTTGATTTTTAGTTAAATTTTGATTATTTTTTCGAGCTAATTCTTTATTCAAAATTTCGATATAAGTTTCTTTATGAAGTCTTTCAAAATGATTTTTTAAATTTGTAACTAATGAACTTGATTGTGAATTATATGATTGACTACAAATTATATATGAGACTAATTTTTTATCTAAGTTTCCTATAACATGATTCCAAATTTCATGTTTTTGAGTTTTTCTTTTACTAGATTTATTTTTTTGAACAGATTGTTTTCTCTTAAGATTACTTCAAATTGTAGAGTCTTGATGAATAGTTTGTTCGTTCTCAAATTGAATATTATTAAGATCAGCTATTTTTGAATAAAGAACCTGTAATATTTCTCTTGATATTTATTAAAAATTATTTATTTTACGTGTTGTTTTGTTATACAAAGTTACATGACTGATTAAATATGTCCTTTTGAGGATTTCCTCAAAAGGTCAGATCATATAAACAAACATATTTTCTCATGAGGATTCTATAAACGGAAAGATTGCAGATCTACTAATTTTAAATTCTAGAACGACACATGATGACACAAAAATCAATGATAACAAATGCACCAATCATTTTGTAAAATTCTGTTTATTTATAATTAATAATTTTTGAACCAATAAACTTTGATAAAAAATTTTTTTCTCTTACGAGTTTTTTTTAAAACTTGTTTTTATTTTTAATGTTTAAAGCTTATAAAAATGCTTAATTTTCTGCATGCAACTTTAAAAAAATGTCCGACATATCATTCCAAATTAAGACTAAACAATCAATTTATAATACTCCACAAATTATATCAAACGAATGAAGAAACAAAAGAAAACATCTTTCTAATTCAATAGACAAAACTAACAAAAAACAAAAAATGTATTCAATCGATATTGAAAAATTTGAAGAATTAAATAATGAATATGAAAAAATATTCAAAGATTATCAAAAAAAAGTTGAAGAATTGCGAAAAGAAAATAAAGATCTTTTAGAATTAATCGAAGAAAAAAATGAACTTTTGAAAGATAAAGAAGAAATAATTGATGATTTTAATAATAGAATGTTCTATTATTCAGAATTTTTTAGAAAAAGTTTTGATATCGCTGAAGAAAGATATCATCAAGAAAAATTTTTTTCAAATATCTGTGAAATAACTAATGATTTCACAGATGAAAATATTTATATTGATCCTAAAACTCCTTTATCAAGATTACCTACGATATTTGGAGTTGAAAAAGTAAATACTGAAGAAAATATTGAAGAAAATATTGAAGAAAATATTATTGAAGAAAAAAATATTTGGGGAGAAAGTGAAGATGAATGGGAGGAAGATAAAGAAATTCTTAGTGATTATTATGGAGAAGGTTATGATGAAAATTACGATTAATTTTATTTCTTATTTTATTTTATTTATCATATTTGTATATATCAATATTTGCATATAATAAAATATTTTTCTAAATATTATTACATAAGTTTTTCAAGTTGTTCTTGTCTTCTGTTATTATCAGGCATAAAATATAAGATCATATCTTGCATAAATTTTATATAACGTTTTCTTTTTTGTTTATTAGTATTATTTTTACCTTCAGTAAGATCTTTATGTGTTCTGTTTAAGATAAATTGTTTTTCATTATCATTAAATCTTTTATCAACTATTTCTGATACTTGATTTAATGTTTTTTGTTCATATTGTTGAATTGTTAGATTTTGATTATTAATATATTTATTTCTATTTATTACTTCTTGTTGTAGTTCTGATCGTTTTTGTTCTAATTCTCTTATTATATTTAATTGTTCTTGTAATTTTTTAATATTTTCTTCAGACATTTCATAAAAAAAAATAATATAAAAGTACTTATATTTATATTTTTTTAAAATATATTAAATAATCTTTATTTCTTAAAGATAAAGCAAAATGAATTTTGAACAAGAATCTGAGAGTTTTCCTTGGAGGAAGATTCATTCTATATTTAGAGTTCTTGATCATTAGATGTAGGGCATAAAGAAACCTCATAGAAAGAAAGTCTACAATCAGATCAGACTTGTCTCAATCGATAACATATCTTATATCGAAGTAAAGATTCAGAAACCTGAGATCATATTTCTTACAGATATTTTAAACTACAGACATGTTCGATCTCATACATAGACTGCTTATAAACCAACTAAAGCAAACATATATTATATTGCAACATATATCAAAAAAGATAATAAACATATAACCTTACAATTTCATAATCTAATTAAATCAAAATTCAAGATAATTGATCATATTAATTGACAAGGAACAGATAACAGAGAACTTAATCTTAGAAATGGTTCTAACAATATCAATCAAAAAAATTATAAATTACATAAAAATAATACTTCAGATTATAATAGAATTAACTATGATATTACAAATAAATTATGGAAATTTCAATTCTATGAGAATAAAAAACAAAAATATAAATATTTTACTTCTAAAGAAGAAGCAATAAAATTCAAAGAAAGACATGATCAGATCACAGAAAATATGAATGGAAAACCTGTTTAAATATATAATTTATATTTTTTTTATTAAATAAAAATTGATACAATTAAAATATATATATAATTTTATTATCAATAAAGATCTTTAATACAAAATTTATCAAAAATATTAAATAAAAAAATCTTCTTAGTCAGTCTCCCAATCAGAAAATAATATCTCTAATTCGGAAACTGAACAAGAAAACTTTTTTGTTTTAATTATTTATTTATATAAAATATTAAATACAAAATATTTATATTTATTTCATTTTAACAGAATCAATAAATTCTAAAAATTAACGTTTAATTAAATCTAAATGATTATTAAAAACTTTTCTTTTAATCTCAACTTCAACTTGTCGAGATAGTAAATAAACATTTATCTGATGTACATTTACTGTATACCAGATATAAACACCAAACGAAATTACAATAATCAAAAATATTATTACAAATATTATAATTAAATATTTGAAATATTTTTTGTAAGAACCTATAGTTGAAAACAATTATTAATAATAAACTATTAAAATAACTTTATAAAATATATGGGCTAGGTGCTGAGAAAAGGAACGAAATTGACAAAAAAAAAGATCTTCGAAAAATTAATTTTTATGTTGTAAATCTTATAATAAATCATAAGAAAATGCAAACTTTAAGGAGCTATATTGCAAAATTTTATTAATA